TGTTTGATTCAAGAAAGTTATTGTTGTGACTTCCGAAGAAAGAACAAGTATAATTAATTATTCATATTAAAGAGCAAGTAGAACAAGTGATTACCAGTGCAACCATTTTTCACATAAGCGAGCGTATGTGATGTATTGGAAGAAAAAGAATAAGCAGAAATGCACATTTATTTTTCTAAAATAAGTAAATGCTTCTCAAACCCTGGCAAGGTCATTTTATTGCTTTCCAAAACCTTCGGAATAGTTTTACTAATATAATCGCATACAAAAATAATCGTATCGTGGAAGGGCGTATATATACGTCTAGAACACTGAACGCATTGATTGATCTAGACGGATATATACGCCGGTGGGAGTAAAGGAGTTTACATTTGTATTCATTAAAATATACTATTTAATCGTATTTGCTGTTAAATCGTATAGTAATTATAGTAAACTAAATTTTATATAAAAACAATATTTTACTACTAATAACGAAAAAACATGCAAAAAGTCAGAGAGAAACGATGACTCCTAACACAGAATTTTATTTCACAAATTGGGCACAAAATCCCTCTTGATACATAGACTAAGACGGAGTAACGTATAATTATGTCTGACTCTTCAATACAAAACAAAATATTATTCTTTGATGATGTACTTTGTCTCGCTGAAAGATTACACAAACAAGTAACCATTACGTCTGATGACCTTCAGACCTCTCAAAGAGGAAGTGGTACAAGTGCTAAAGAAAATGTTAGTGATTTGGCGAAATGCGGAAAGATGAAATTATTCAATTTGAGGTGAAATATGTTTTTCGGATATGTTTTAGCAGACGGAGAAAACAAGAGTTCGTCTTAAATGACATTACATAAGTACGTTACTACCAAATTAACGAAGAATATGATATTATTTAGAATATGAGTTTTCTCTGCTTTCGTCATAGATAAAATAGAAAACTAATTTGGTTTATTTTCATTAATTGTATCCATTGTGCTGTTAAAAATAATGTATTCATTCGTGCAAAAAAAAATGTTTTATGTTACATTTAATTAATTTTAATTAGAAGCAAATATAATTAACTCAGCATATGATGAATGCATTGTATTATTAAAATATTGTTAAGAAATTTAGGTAATGCATGCTTAAAATAGTGTAAATATTTCTTATGTACGTATGGAAACGTTAATATTACTTTCTGTTGTATTAATTTTCTGTTAAAGTTGTAATATTCTCAAGCAACACCGTCCCTTACATTAAAATGGCGATTCAGTGTAAACTAGACTGAATGGTGGCGATAGTCACGTTGACATCTTTTTTTGGGCCCACGTTTACGACATTGCGACCGTTTTTGGTGGCTATCAAAGGGATGTTTCTGGAAATTACTGAAGATACCAATTAATATCACAATTTACGACGTGAGCGGGTATTCCTCGAAAGATCCGTGTGGACTATAAATAGAAGATCCTCGTTGAAAGTGAGTAGGTATTGTTTTGGCCATTGAAAGTTCGACTAGCGATTAGTCGCTACTATAGAGCGAGTTATTGTGAATAATTTTAATCATTACGTATTTGTATTTTTAGACACTGGGAGTTCTGTGTATGAGACGTAAAAGGTGCGGAGGCCATATGGGAGTTGTTTCACGAAATTCGCTGCTATGCCCTGTATTTTTGTTTTTCCACAATAAATTTTCATCGCTCTTTAAAAACGGTTTTGAGACTAATAGCATAAAATCTTCGAAACACGATCTGCGTAAAAATACAATTCCATGTGAAGTTTTTAATAGGATATCGGCAACGTTTAAATATTTAAATTGCTTTTAAAAGCAACGCGTGTATTTTCTTAATCGAATCATATAAACACACTTGTAAATAATTCTAAAAGCTAAAAAAAAAAAAAAGAAAGAAAGAAAGGTTTTTATGAAAAATTAGAGAGTAGTAACCAATTACGAAAAATAAATATAGCACGAAATGGCGCGCAACTTCATTTTTGGTCAATCTCGACATGTGAGATCTGAATTAAATGCCAAAGAAAAAAGCTTTAGTCTCTCAGATTTTTTTTTATTTAATCACAGTAACACCACATGATATGCTATATGACATATTTTTATTGAAATAAAATAATTCATGCGACAAGAAAGAAATCAATTAAAAGAACTTATTAGCACGAACACTTACACTTAACACTTAATTTAGCACGAACTTAGAAATTGTGTTTTTCACTTAAAATCTCTTGGTCATTATCTGTAGAAATATTATGTCACAGTTTGTTTGATTTAGTAAGTTTCACCGTAATTGTTTGATTAAATATACATTATATTACATACATACATTATATATATATATATATATATATATATATAATGTACAAAAGGAACAAAAAGACGA